TTGATGTGGAGAAGGGTGGAAAGAAAGGAGGTAGTGTAGAGGAGGCTATAGTAAAGAAGGTTGCAGTAAAGAAGGGTGTTGTGAAGGAAGCTGCAGTAAAGGAGGGTGCTGTAAAGAAGGGTTCAGTAAAGGAGGCTACAGTAAAGAAGGGTGCAGTGAAGGAGGTTGTAGTAAAGAAGGGTGCAGTGAAGGAGGTTGCAGTAAAGAAGGGTGCAGTAAAGAAGGGTGCAGTGAAGGAGGATAAAAGTGAGGATGAGGGTTCTGAGCAGGATGAAGGTGATGAGGATGAGGGTTCTGAGCATGATGGAGGTGATGATGATGATGAGGGTTCTGAATATAATGGAGGTGATGATAAGGAGGGTTCAAAAGAGGGTGGAGGTGATGATGAGGAGGGTTCAGAAGAGGATGGAGGTGATGATGAGGAGGGTTCAGAAGAAGATGAGGGTGATGATGAGGAGGGTTCAAAAGAGGATAAGGGTGATGATGAGGAGGGAAGTGAGGAGGATTCTGAACAAGAAGTAAGTGAGGGAGGATCTATTGAGAGAAATAAGAAAAAAAGAAAATTGAGTGTGAAAGCAAAGAAGCTAGTAAAGGATGATCGGCTTCCAACTAAGAAAAATCCAGCAAAGGATTATCGCTGTCCTGAGAAAAAGCTAGCTAAGGCATCCAATAATTCTCTTGTTGAGAAAAAACCAAAAAAAGATTATCGTCGTCCGGCCGAGAAGAAGCGGAAAATGGTGAAGGACAATATCTGTCTTGCTGAGAAGGAGCCAATAAAGGATGATCGTTGTTCGGCTGAGAAGAAGCGGAGAGTGGTTGACAACGCTATCAAAATTGAAAATAGAAACAGACCGGATTCTGATTCTGAAGAAGATGAAGTTGTTGCAAGTATATTAGAGAGAGATGATTCTGATTCTGATGTTGAAATGTACGTACTCTTTTCTGAAGTTATTGTTATTATTTCTAAAGTTATGGATTATGCTCTTAAAGTTATGGATAATGCCCTTAAAGTTATGGACATTGTGTTAGTAAGATAGATGTGATAATTAACTTATATGCTAATACAATATTTACGATAATTTTATGTAAAGTTATGGATAATGATATTAAAGCTATATTTTAGTACTTATTTATAGTTATAATTTTGTGTTTGCTAAAGTTGCATTTATTATTTCTAAAGTTGTATTTATTCTTTTTAAAGTTATAATTGTTCATTTTATTTTTCCTTTCTTCTTTTTTTGATTCAGATTAGATAGGTTTTTTAGTACCCATTGCAGACCGCACACATTAGTAGATCTCATGAAAGATTTTTCTGATGAGCAAGTTAAATCTGTTGTTGAAATAGGATTTGGTGGTTTGTTGGATTTAAAGTTGACTATAACTGTTACAACTTTACTTCCTTGGTTGGTTGATCATTTTGATCCGGTTAGTTGGATGTTTTCTATAAGTCCTGGGAAGGGATTTGTTATTTCTCCCTATGATGTTTATGATGTATTTGAGTTACCTTTGAATAATGGGATGGATGTTGTAGAGAGTACTGGAAGTATTGATCTTCAATTGAAACAAGAATGGAGGAGTATGTTTGATGTTGCTGGTAGTGCAGGCATACCTTTGCACAAATTAGAGGCTAGGATTGTTCAATTAATAAAGGATGGTGGGGAGTTGTTTAAAAGACTATTTGTAATGATTGCTTTTACTACCTTTTTAGCACCTGTTGCAAATAGAACTGCTTATTTGAGTTTTGTTAAAGCTCTTGAAAATGTTGATGAAATTAAGAATTTCAATTGTTGTAAATATGTTCACGAAAGGTTGTGTAGGGCTATTTTGAAGTATAAGAAAAGTAAGCTAAGAGTCAAGACAGTGTTGGTGGTTGTATTTTGTTGTTAGAGGTTGTGTATTTTCAGCGTCTGAAGTTCAGGAATGAGGCACAAGATTGTAGTTTGCCTTTTATCAAACACTGGACAGATAGAAAATCAGTGATAGGGTGAAAAAGGAAGTTGAGGCTAAATCCTTTGGTTGTGGTATTTTGGATACTACTACATAGCCTATATCTCAGAATTTTTTGTTCGGAGATCAGTTGCCTCTTCGAATTGCACCTGAAGAAGCTAAGCAAACTAAAGTTTCTTAAGTTGACAATGATGATGATGCATCACTAGGAAAAAGGATCATTAAGTTTGATGTTCTTGATAGTATGACATCTGATGAAGAAATTCACTCTATTGCTACTGATGTAAGTTAAAAGTTACACTTATTCATGCTAAAGTTATACTTTTATGTTAAAAGTTATACTTATTGTAGCTAAAGTTATCATTCTAATTATTCACTTATTATTTTTCAGGCTATTCATGAGCAATTTTTGTTGATGAAGAGGAATATGGAAGTTGTTACAAACTATCATTTGAAGAAGGTTGAAAGTTTAAAGAAGCATGATGTGGCTTGTGCTTCTAGTAGTTCATCTCCTGTCTTGCAAAGTCAGGATTATAATCCAAGAATGTTTGAGATTGTTGATATTGTGTTATCAGTGAAGAAATTGCCCGGAGTTATTTCAAATATTGCGTGTGATGTGAATGTCGGGGGTGGGGAGAATGGTGGAAGGGTGGAAAATGTTCCTGAGGGTGATTTTGTTAATAATATTGTTTAGAATGTGATGGAAAAGATTAACCTGGAGTATGGTAAAAGTTTTCTCATCTATAATCATGAATGCTTTGGGTAATGGTAAGGCAAAAATATCTGTTGGATGTGGGACATGTGATGTTGATGTTGAGTTTGTTGGACATGTGATGAAAAGCAATAAGAAGTCTTTGAAAAAATTACCAAAGTTGTATCAAGAGATTGCTAATTATTGCTTCTTAGATGATATTCAAAAGCTGAATTAATAAGTTATTTATATTTTAGTTAAAATAATTTTTTTTTGCTTAAAGTTATGTTTTTATTTCTTGAAGTTATTGTTATTATTATTATTATTATTATTATTATTATTATTATTATTATTATTATTATTATATTTTAATTTTTAACTGGTTTTTGTTTATTTAGGGAGTGTTTGGATTGGTTTGATCATACTCATAGTGTTCCAAGAGAAGATATGGTGTCTTTAGCTGCTAATTTGGAGATTTTCCAATCTGTTATTGAGTGTTAGGCAATGTTGCTGAATGAGAATGAAAGAATGCGCGACGGAGGTCTTAAAAATTTCTGTTTTGGTGTTGAATGCAGTGTAAGTTTTATGTAAAGCTATATGTATTTTTCTTTTAACTGATGTTTGTATAGTTAATTCTTATGGATTTCTTTTTGTCTTATTGTTATTTAGGCTAACTTGGTAAAGCTTTGGGATGATGAAAATGATATTGATGTTATGGATCAACTTCAAGTTTGTTGGAAGGAATGGATTCAAGTCACAAAAAACAATTTTGATATCAGTGTTGTTGATTTGGTAATAATTATTTCTACTGTTGTGTATTTTAATTCACATGTGTCATCAATTTTTTTTAATTTCTAATTCTCGGTATTTTGAATTACAAATTATAGGTTTTTGTTCCTATCTATGCCTATCACCACTTTTGGGTTTTTGCGTTGAATATGAAGAAAAAAACCATGCAATTATTGGACAATTTGGTTTATGAAGAAGCTACTATGGAAACAATTAAGCATTTGTCTGTAATATTGGTAATTGTTTAAATTTTTGTTAAAGTTATACTTGTTTTTGTAAAAGTACACTTATTTTGGTTAAAGTTACATTTTTTTTATTATATGTTTAATTATTGTACTTTGTTCTTCCTTTTGTAATGTGATCATTTGAGCACATTATTCAATAGTCTTGGTCATCCTAAATTTAGTGAAGTTAGAGATTATGCAATGGAGGAGGTGATGTTCAGTTGGAAGAATAATAAAGGATATGATTAAGACTGTGGAATATATTCTATGATGTGTATGTTGTTGTTTGAGGTGCTGCTTTTAGTTGTGATGCGTTGATGCGGGTTAGTTGCAATTTTTTTAGTTAACTTGTGTTTTTTTTTTGTTTATTTATTTATTTATTTATTTTTATTTTTTTTACTATGATTACATGATACTAATATATATAGTTCTTAAATACACTCAAGTTCAAGAGTTGTACTTCGAGCAGAGATATGTGTAACACTAGTACTGTCTGATATGAATGATGGCAGACAATTGGTGTTGAATTCTTTATGCAATTTTAATTCGCGTCGATTGGAGCTAGCACCTGAATTTGCTAAAAGGGGAAAGCTGATGATGCAACAAAAAAGGAAAGAGGAAAATGTGGCAAAAAATTGAGTAAAGAAGTCAAAAAGATAGATGCCAATAAGAAAGAAAAATCTGCCAAGGGGAAGTATATATTGTATTAGCAACAGCAGGATTTGTTAAGGGGAAGCTAATGTAGTTAGAACTTACAGTAATTTCATGCTTTTGTAAGTATATACTGATGCTTTTTTTATGTTTATTTTCTAATTGGAAGTCTTGGTTTGGTTAATACCATGCTTTTGTAACTACATACTTAATATTTTGTCTATGAAATGGATGGATATTATCGTAATTCTATTAAAGTTAATTTAATTCCATTAAAAATTATGGCTAATTCCCTTAAAGTGTTAGAAATTATTTTTATAAATAGGAAGGAATCAAGATTATTAAAGTGTTAATATAATAGTTATGGATATTTCATAAAAAGTTATGGATGACGCCATTAAAGTTGTGGAAACTTTTTTTTTGTAAAAAGAAGTTAGAATTAAAATTATTATAACAGTTTTGGTATTTTTTATTAAAAGTTATGGATAATGCAAATTAAAGTTAAGGATACTATTATAATAGTTATAGTAATTCTACTAAAAGTTATAGTTTTTTTTAGCAAAAGTCATCATTACTTATACAGTAAAAAAAAAGATCAATATATTATATTTAAAAGTTCAAGAATAATACAACAGTCTCAAATAGTCTAAGATCAATGAATATAGTTCAAAATTAAAGAACAATGTATCTAAGATCAATCAAAATAGTCTCAAATTAGGGGTTATAGCTCCAAACTCAAGTGGTGGTACTGCAGTCTTCTTTCTTTTCTTCTCCATTGGTCCTCGTGGCCTTTTGTTCCTTCCTTTTGTTGTTTTACGTTCAGGATCTAATATTAGAGGTGCCTCAGTTGCTATACTTGATGATGTAGCTTGGTTAGTCTCTGCTTCAATAGCTTGGTTAGTCTCTGCTTCAGTATCTTGGTTGGTCTTTGCTTCAGTATCTTGGTTGGTCTCTACTTCAGTAGCTTGGTTAGTCTCTGCTTCAGTAGCTTGGTTAGTCTTTGCTTCAATATCTTTGTTGGTCTATGCTTTAGTAGCTTGGTTAGTCTCTGCTTCAGTAATGTCGTTGATGGTTGTTAGTAGTTCTTCAATAAGAGAAAGGCTAGCAGCATAACTTTCCTCGATAAGGGTTCTCGCCTCTTTATTCAATTGACTTTTCAATATTAGATTATAGAATTTTCTAGCCATGGTTTGACACCAAGGTGTGTATTGATGTTGTTCAGGTTCTTCATTGTCACGTCTTTCCCAAATTGATGATTTTGCAAACTTTGTCCATCTCTTTTTTATATACTGATCTGGTACTGTCATCACTGAATGTAAGTGTAATATTCTGATGCAGTGGTAGCATAACCATCCAGAAGCTTCAATGTTCTTGCAAGTGCATTTAACTTAGTTGTTGTTAGATTCAAAAGTGACTTTTTGTTGCGACCAAGGTTCACTTTCAATTGCCACTAAATAGAACAAGGTACTACCATTTTGCCAAAGTAGTTTTGTGGTAGTTGCAATGGAATACCCAAATTCTTCTTCAAAATCTGTGAATAAAGACAAAGTGTAGATTTCTGATGCATGTTTCAGCAGACCAGATAATGGTATTGCTGATGATGCAGTTGATTTACTACACAAGAACTCACCATGTTTTTCCGTGCTTCTCCAACGCTGTATACAAGCTTTGAAAATGCTACAGAAGTCAGTCAAGCTTGTTAATCTATTTGCTCTAAACCCAATTGCATGATTGGTACTTTCACTTCGCTTAGAAGAGCGGATACCAGCTGAGAAGAAGTCTTTGCTTAGAGCTGGACACCACTTTTCTTTTAGATCATAAATTCTTTGAAATCAACTATCTTCTTGTAAACTATACTTCTCAATCATTGAGTTCCATACAGTTTCAAACTCAACTTCAGTTACACATCATTTCAAACAGTAGGAGAATGTTCTCTTAAAATCCTTGTCTCGTTTCAATGATCCAAATATTGTAATAGCATTTTGTTCTAAATGCCATAAACATAATCTATGTCTGACCTCTGGAAAGACCTGAATTATAATCAGATATATTTTTAGAAAAAAAAAGGTAACTACACAATAGAAACAAGGTAACTTTAACACCTTTATGTATAACTTTAAATGTTACCTTCTGTATTGCAGAGCACATTGCTTGATCTTGGTCTGTGAAGATTGAGATTGGGCATTTCCCTCCCATTGACTTTTTGGATGTCTCAAGAAGCCATACAAATGATTCAATTTTCTCATCTCCAATAAAAGCACACCCAAACATGCAATTTCTCCAATGGTTATTAATTCCAATAATAGGAGCACATATCAAATTGTATCTATTTGTCCTATATGTAGTGTCAAACACTACAACATCTCCATAAATACTATAATCTTCTCTCATCATCGAGTCTCTCCAAAATAGTGCTCTCAACTTGCCTTCTTTATTCAATCTAAATCTAAAGAAAAATTCAGGATCATTAGCAAGTTCCTGGTACGTTATTTCAGAGACTGCTTGTGCATCACCACCTTCAATATTTTTCATTTTCAACCTTGTCCAATAATTCAAATGGTCTTTCTTTGTGTGTCTCAAGTTTTCTTCATCTCCAGCTTCATTGCACATAGCTTGATATGAGTCCATAACTGAAAGTCCTGACTTTTGCAAGTTTTCTATTACTTATCCCTTTTCTTCTGTCATCTCTCTTTCAGATGATGAAGATAGTGCCATTGTTTTCTTGTGAGTTCTTATTTATGTACCAAAACATGTTGTACTACATCAAACAATCCATCCTCATTCATCTTAACTCTTATACAAGCTCTACAATCTGTTCTTGTGATAGAAACTTGCCTTGGTTTTCTTTTCTTTTTCTTTTCTGCATTCTCCACAATTTCTTCTATTTTTTTTCTTTTTTCTTCCCCTAGTGTTTGTTTTACCTTGTGCAGAACAAACATAGTATTTCTATACAATAACTTTTCCAGTTTTATCCCTAGTCCTACCTGTATGTTTCCTTACTGAAAATCCTACAATTGATGCATGTTTTTTTGTAAATCTCATGCATTTCTTCTAAGGTTTTTGTTCTGGTGCCTAATAGTGTTCTCCCAACATCAATATTAGTTTCAATGACTGCAATTTAATTAGTATAGTAGATTTAAGTTTTACGAAAAAAGTGTAACTATGATTCAGTAATACAGTAACTTTTAAGCCATATCAGGAAACTTTGACAGTGTTATCACTTACTTCACTATTTTATTAAATTATATAATATAACTTCTAAGCCATATTATGTAACTTTAACAATATTAACTATAACTTTTAAGCCATAAACAAAACAACACGTGTATTTCTTAAAGTTACACTTGTGTTTCTTAAAGTTACACTTGTGTTTCTTAAAGTTACACTTCTATTTCTTAAAGTTACACTTCTATTTCTTAAAGTTACACTATAAATGAAACAAGTATGCAATTTCAATTTTACTTGTACTTTTCAATATTAAACAGAAACTTCAATTTAAACAATTCTGCAACTGTTCAAAAGCTTAATGTTACCTTCAGAAGTTGAATCTTCATCCGCCGAGATTTGCTCTTCATCCGCCGAGATTTGCACTTCATCAACTGAGATTTGTTCTTCATCGAGATGAACTCTATTCTCATATGAATCTACATTGATCGTAATTCATTCAATCACCAGTTTACCTATTTTTGGTAAATTTGTACAAATTCATATACAAAATCACATACCTGAATTGAGGTTTTGATGCATTGCATTGTCATCGATTTCGCAATTTAGGTCAATATTATTACCACATTGCCTGCAATTTAGGGTTTGTTGCATAGAATTGTTGTTTAAATCCAAATCAATTGCAGAATCAACTTCAATATCTTCTGAAGTTTACAGATCGTTTTAAATTAGAGCTTGAATTTGTTTTTGTGATTGTAATAATTTGTGAATTAGCGAATCCATTGATGTTTTGCAGAGAATTTGCAGAGAATATTTCGAAGAAGACGATGTTTTGCATGCGGCTCTGATTTAGCGCTATTTATACTCTAATTGGCACGTGTGAATCAAGTCTTACATTAAGATTAGTGTAAGCCGGTTGTATGCAAGAATTTTTGTTTGTCATACATTTTTTAATAGGATTTTGTCATTCATTCTTACCCAAATAGTAATACCCACCTATTGCATAAAAAAAAATAATAAAAAAAAGGAAAAAAGTAGTAATATGGTAATACCCACCTGCTTCGTCACTCTCCTCTAAAAAATACGCAGTAGTTATACGGCAAAACCACCCCTGCTTCATCTCTCTTGTCTCAAAAATTTTCAAATTCTCCATGACTCCATCTTCCTCACCTCCATGCCTTCCTCCATTTCACGGCCTTTGACACATCATCCTCGACGATTGGCTGCAAGTCCTGGATTCAAGTTTTGCGATTAATAAGGTAGAATGCAAATTAAATTTCCTCAAGATCGAAAATATCCAGCCTTAATTCAAGCAAAATCGAAAAATCCAGACCTAATTTCGAGCCAATTTTAGTGTTTTTTATGCAATAATTCAAGCAATAACAATTTCGAACCATAAATCTGAAATTTGCTTTGATTTCTTAGGTTTAATTGATGAAAATTTTTCAGCAGTTTAATTTTGATGAATCATGTTTCCCCCAAAATTCTATATTTTCCATCTTTCCTGAGTAATTAGGTGAAACAGCTCCTGAATTTTGTTTATTTGTATTAATTTGCTACTTTTGTGTTTCATCAATTTGTTTTAAAGTTATTTTTTTTTTCTTAATTTGATTTCAATTTCGTTCCATTATTCGTGATTGAACTTGTAATTCTTTTTAAAAAATGAAATCCCCTTTTTTTCTTTTTTAATTCGGGGTTTTTTTATTAAGGTACTCGCTCAATTCAAATCTGGATTACTATATACAATCAAAGCGTATTAAATTACTATATTTCAGCATACAATTCATGAAACTAACTTTGAAATGGTTTTCTTTTTCTTTTTTTCTCTTTTCCCTATCTTCAGGAGGAGAAGGTTGAGAAGACAAATGGTGCATAGACACTACATTCCCTTACGAGTAGTCATGTCGGGTGACACTCCTCATGCTGGGAGTCGGGTGAGTAATGTTGTGACCCCTCTAGTTGAATCCGGGTTGAATGGTAGCCGTCTCGCTGCCGGTAGTGCTTTTTGTCCTTTTCGATCTAGCACTCACCTTGACTTTTTTAAACCTTACTTGAGTGGGAACTCACTTATAATGGGGTTACCCTCTCGCATGTTATGCATTTGAGAATGCGTGCTAAGCGCCATGAACTTTTAACCAATGAGGTTAAGGCTAATCCCCTTAATGTATCCCTTGTTAGTCCCATTCTCCATGTTCAGCCTTTAAACAGGTTTTCTTGGCTTGATGATGATGTGAATTGGTTTGATCACTTTGTAGTGCGGGGTGGTCATTCTCTAACTTTTTCTCCATCTTCTTCTCCTGCAAAGAATATGGGTAAAACTGCTGAGTCTCCTAGTGAGCGTGCTTTTCAAGATTACTAGCCTTGTTACGTTGTTGAGCCCGTGGAAGAGGGGAAATCTGACTTCTACATGAATGAGAGGTGCGTTAGCCCTAAAAATTGTACGCTTGACTCCAACTGGCGTATAGACGATGAGAGGTTGGATCTTATGACAGTGGGCCAACAGTTTTATGGATTTGGAACAGGCTTCAAGTTGGTCCTTCTTGTTGAGGGCTCAAATGAAAGGAATGGTGTCCTTCGAACAAGTGTATTATTCCAAAAGAGGGTTCAGAATTAATTAGAAAGTTAATTATTCAGTGAGGTCAAGTGATCGGAATGCCTAGCTGGAGGCCGCTTCCGATTAGTAATATTAATGAATAATTAATATTACAACTTAATCTTGACTAAACCCTTCGGGTCACACCCAATCGTGTAACCGAACCGAAGCGACGAATTAATCCGTAGGATTTGATGAGTCAATAGAGTTTTACGAACAAAGATCTCAAATTCCGAGCTTAGAGCGTTGAAACCGAGCGTCGTTAATCGAGTCAAATTTAGGAAATGACGAGACGGAAAAATCAGCCAAACGACAAGTCACATCGTATAGCCCTAGCCTCTGAATGGCCGATATATCCGAGGGCTAGGGCAATGTGGCTAACTAGGCAGCCAGCATGCGAGGAATGGCCGCAAGCTCAGCCGCAGCATGCGTGTGCTGGCTTGGGTGCTGCGACATGCCAAGCTAGCTAGCTAGCTAGCATGCTAGCAACGCATGCTAGTATCGCTAGCTACCTGGCACAACAAGGCCAGCATTGCTGGCGCCCTTGCTAGTATGCTAGCACCAGCCCCTCACCATCGCAAGCAAGGCCAACAACAATAACTAGCCGGGCCTTGTGCGAGGAAGCAGCAAAGTAGCAGTAGCTCGTAAGCTTTGCTTGCAATAGGTGCGCCCAGCACGCCCAGCAGAAACCCGTATGCATGCGTGGCATGCTGATATGTTCATTTTATATAGAGATTTACCCCCGTCCCTTGGTCATATTTAGGAGTATTATTGGCTCTTTGGAGCCACTTTTATTACTTATAAGCGTTTTCTAGTGTTTCCGTAGTTTTGGTATTGTTTTATAGGAAATTGCGGATTTTAAGCATTTTCCCGGAGTTATTTGAGCCACTACAAGCATTGGAGTAGGATAGCATTATTATGACCATATTTCGTAGCCCAAGACCGGCTAGAGTCATCAAACCGGAGATTCAGGGCTCGACAGTTAAGAAGAGACCGGGGCAATGGACCAAGTGTTAAGGACCCAAAGAGGAAATCCAGATTGGTCTTAGAAAATAGCCTAGTTGAAGAGGTCTAACTTACCCGGATGCTCGCCCGACTGGGTAAGCCCTCGCTCTGAAGAGCACCTGGTTGGGCAAGGCACATAGAAGAAAAGCAACCCTCGCCCTGTCTCGCGCCCGACCGAGCGCGAGTGAAGAAGATACCAGCAAAAAGGCCGGCCCGGCCAGGCAAAGCTCTGCCCGACCGGGCCGTGTTTCTAAGAGGAATTTCGGCAGTTTACTTTGCTTTTAATTAGGATTTTTAAGTTAAAGTATAAACACGTTTTGTTTTAGGAAGTGAGGAAGACGTTTTTCATTAGTAAAATTCTTAGTTTTTAGTTTTAGCTTTTAGTGAATACTCTTGTTTTCTCCCTACACTTTTGATTTATACAATTCTTCATTTCCGTTTATTCTGGTAACAGTTTCTTCCCCTTTTATTTTCAGTAATTTAATTGCTTTGATTTAATATGCTTTGTTTAATTGCTTTGCTTAGTTTAGATTTAATTATGCGTTAGTAGTTTTATACTAGGGTTTGTGGGAATCCATAAATAATATGAAGGGGTAATTTATTATTGTTGATTGTTAATGCTTTGGTTGATTTCCTATTGATTAATTTACTGCTATGCAATTAGATTAGCGCTGGTTTAATTATATGAGTTATGCAATATTAATTCGAGATTCGAGAGATGAGAATTGATGTTTAGGCTTAGTTTCAATAGGCAGGTTAATTTATAAATGGTTAAGTCAAGATTCGAGAGATGCGATTTAATACCGATAGATTAATTCTGTGATTTTAATACGTAGCGAAAGCCCTTTATGATCTGATTAATTGATGTATTAATGATTGATTGTTGTGTTTTACCCTGGAATATTATTTATTGGTGAACCTATACCCTAAGCCTTTTATTATTGTTTTTCTCCCTTAATCAATTTACTTTAGTTTATTTATTAGTTTAATTCTCATTAAAAACAACTTGGTTATTTAATAGATTGTTTAGACTATTTTAATTAATTAGGAATAGAAAGACTTGTTTCCCTGTGGATTCGACCCTACTTCCCTATCAATTTTAGTTAGTGGATTTAAGAATTACTTTTGATTAGGTGATACGACTTTAGCCTGTAAAAATTTGGCGTTGTTCTCGGGGAAACAGTTTTATTTTTATTTCTAATTGTTTCTGTAGTCTAGATTATTCTCTTTCGTCTCAGAGAACGCAAGTTCCTTGAGACAGTTTCTCATATTTGCATGTTTAATTCTGTGTTTATGCCCAGGAGTTCTAGATCAGGTTACATTCCATTCGATCCTGAAATCGAACGTTCTTTTCATAGACAGAAGAACCTTTTTAGATAGGTACGAGTTACTTCTGAGGGTAATACACCTTTAGAACTCCCATCTGATTCTAGTGCCACAGAAGTTCCTTCAGAACCAGAATATGAAATGACGACTCAATCACCTCGCAAGTTCAGCGATTATTTGCAGCCGTCCTTGGCGGATTTTCCACATCTTGCTCCTACACCATATCTCGAGGGAGTACAATTCGAGATTAAACCCTAGTTTATTACTATGATCGAAAGGAAGCAATTCAGCGGAGCTAAGGGTTGAAGATCCAAATCTTCACATCTTGGATTTTTGCCAATATTGCAACACCATTAGACAAGCTGGGGTCACACAGGACCAAATCAGGGAGATTCTTTTTCCCTTTTCTTTATGTCGTAAAGATAAATTATGATACAATGGACTGTATAGAATTGCACTTGGTATTACTGACTGGGAAACTCTTGTTTAAAATTTCTGTAACAAATACTACCCTGCAGAGAGAACAACTTTGTTAAGGAGTAAGATCCTAAATTTTTCCCAAGAAGCGGATGAATCTTTATATAAAACTTGGGAAAGATTCAAGGATTTGCAGAGAGAATGCCCCCATCATGGGCTAGCATAGTGGCAGATAATGCAAGCTTTCTATAACGGGCTTGGATATAATTCAAGAATGATTTTGGACTCTGCAGCTAACAGAAGGTTTATGAATTTAGATGTGAATATAGTGAGTAATGTTGTTGAAGAGATGGCTATTCATAATTCCCAATATGGGAATCCCAGAGGATTTGCAAATAAGGGAAAGCACCAAGTCGACTCTATATCCTTTTTGCAAGCACCATTGACTGCTATTAGCCAGAAACTAGACAATATTAATAATACTAATTCATCTCCCGTTGCTAATGTTTCTACTGTTTGTACTAACTCTACAATAATTTGTGAAAATTGTGGTCTTGTAGGTCATAAGGCTCAGGATTGTACCAGTTCGCTTGAGAAGATTAATGATTTTCAAGCCTATAAACAAACTAGTCCATACTCTAACACCTACAATGCGGGGTTGAAAAATAATAAAAATATGTCGTACAATAGAATGAATGTGCCTCACCCCCCATCACAGGTACAACAACCGCAGCAGAGGTACTATTAACCTCCACATCAGAGACCACAGCAGACTGTTACTCCTCCTTCTGCTTCTGGCTTATTAGAAATCAGAACGATGTTAGTTGATATGTAGAAACAGATGCAGAGTAGGGATGTGCAAATTGATTCGATTCTAGCTCATAATAAAATAATGGACAATCAAATTGCGCAACTTTCCTTTGCTCTACAAACCCGCCAGCAGGGAGCCCTACCATCGCAGCCAGTACAACCTACAGATCACGTAAATGCAATTACCCTGAGAAGTGGTTCAAAATACGATGGGCCTTCTATGCCCAAAGATGATGAACCTATAATAACAAATATTGCTAATCCTGATTCTGTTATACCAAATATTGTTGTTACTAGCCCTACAGGGTTCCAGGGTAAAACTAACATTTCTGATGATACACTGCAGGGTATAACTGCAAAGAAGGATAAAACTCAAGACAAGAGTGGAGATGTACAGAAACCAATTATCAAACTATTATTTCCTAATAGACATCTTAAGAGTAAGCTAGATAAGCAGTTTGGTAAGTTTCTGGAGGTTGTCAAGAATTTGCAGGTAACGGATCCTTTCACAGAATTAATTACTCAAGTTCCTGCATATTCTAAATTTATGAAAGAAATTTTGACCAGAAAAAGATCTATTAGTGAGGTAGACACAGTTGCTTTTACTGAGGAATGCAGTGCTATATTATAGAATAAATCTCCACCTAAACTAAAAGATCCGGGTAGTTTTTCTATTCCTTGTCACATTGGTAATCTTATGATTGATAAAGCTTTATGTGATTTGGGTGCTAGTGTAAGTGTTATGCCGCTATCTGTGAGCTGTAAATTAAATATGGGTAATTTACAAGCTACCAATATTACTCTACAAATGGCCGATCGTTCTGTTAAATACCCCTTAGGTGTTTTAGAGGATGTTCCTGTTAAAGTGGGTAAATTTTATATACCTGTTGATAATGTTGTTCTTGATATGGAGGAAGATTCGCAAATTCCGATTATTTTGGGTAGACCATTCCTTCATACTACAGGGGCAATAGTAGATGTGAAAAGTGGTAAACTTACATTATGTGTAGGGGATGAAAACATTACCTTTAATCTAAATAATGCCCCTAAAAGCCCTATTTTAGAGGAAAAATGCTTTAGTATTGGTGTGGTTGATGTAAATAATTTTTCTAATAAGCCCCAAGCTCTCGTTAGAGATCCTTTGGAGGCGGTACTTTGTGTTACATCTTCCATAGGAAAAGCTACTACATGGAAATATGAAGTGGATGCTATAGAAAGAGCTCTAAATTGTGTAGGTCTTGGGTTTGAAGATGAACAAGTGGAGAGAAAGGAGCAAATTGAGAAAAATCGGACTCAAAGTGCTGTAGCGCACCCTACCGGGCGAGCACTCGCCCGACCGGGCGCGAGAGGAAGTCAATATACGAGCGAAATTCGCCCGACCGGGCGCGAAAGAAAGGAGGATTTTTGCCTAAAATTTTCCCGACCGGGCGCGCGAACAAAGGTCGAAAAAAGAGTTAAAACTGCCCGACCAGGCGGAGAGCCGCCCGACCGGGTGCGTGAGCGGGACATCAAAATAGGCCAACTTCAAAATGACATATCTTTTGTGTTTCTCAACGAAATTTTGTGTGTGACCTATCGTTGGAAAGTTCTTCAAGTCTACTTTCTAATACAATTAGAATCACTGCATTATCATTTGTGTAAAAAAAGTTATGAGAAAAATAGTGAACCTGACTCGTTTTTGCCTCTTTTCCTACTAACACTTTGTTTCTTTTTTGTCCAGAATTGTACCAAAGTGCTGAAATGTGATTCCTGGGATGGTGGCGGCTATGAGTTTGATGATGAGGGGTAGTCGCCTGGGCGACTAACTTCCCTTTAAGCCAATGAGGACATTGTCTGGTTTGGCTTGGGGGGAATTTCTTGTATATATAGGTACTCTTTCTTTCCCTTTTCTTTTTATTTTCTTTGGTGTGCTTAGTTTAGTTTTATTGCTTTCTAGAATAGTTTTTATTGCTTTCAAAAAAAAAATATAAAAATACGATCCATTGAATGATAAATCATGCTTCCTTCTGCCCCATTCATGAAAATTGTTTTGATTCTTGGTATATGATGATGAGTATTGTGGATAGGTTAGCCATGATTTGATGTTTGATTGCTTGAATGCCCTAACATGAGTCAATTTTTTCCAACTATTTGTGAATATAGTGCTTGACTAGTTGATTTGATGAGGAATGTGTGTTAGTTCTTAGTATGTCAATGAAGTTGAGTATTGGCTTATAACTTTGAGTAATGTTTGTTTGACTCATTATTATGCACATTGAGGAGGACGAAGACATTTTCTCTTTTAGGTGGTCTCCAGATGATTTTAGATACATTTGTTCCCTTCTTGCTACCCATGTTGCTGCCTGTGCCCTTTTATTGTTTATTTAGCCATATTACAAGCCTATTTAAGCCCCATTGGTTACTAGTCCCAAGCTTGGCTTGGGGGAGCTAATAGTGAGTGAGGTGAGGGAGTTGCAATGTGCACATAATTTGCACAATTTTGGGTGGATTTGAGAAGTTATTTATTTGTTCTTATTTTTGTGGATTGGAAAAAAATTGAGAAATTGTTGTTCAAAGTTGGAAAAAATTCCAACGTGAGATAAAAAATTCCAATGTGAGATAAAAAGGAAAAAATAGAGCAAAAGAAAAAAAAATTGTTTCAATGTTCAAGTGTTTAATTGAAGGTTGCTCAAAGGGAAAAAAATTCAAAAGAATAAATATCAAACAAAGAGAAAAAAAAATGAAATTGAAAAATTGTAGTTCAAAGTTTGTTTTTTCACTCAAGTTCTATAATGTTATATTTTTGTTTTTTCACTCAAGTTCTATAATGTTATATTTTGTATATATGAGTGAAATTGTGAGTGCTGGGAATTTTTAATATAATTTGATGTTTGGTGAATATTTTGTAGAGTTGAGTTGTGATTGGAGATGATTTTGTCATTATTTATTTTTGACTGTGGTTTATTAGGATTGGCTACCTAAAGCATGGCTTTACTCTCACATTTTCCCAAATATTTCCTACCCTTTACCTAAGCCTTACGTTACAAGCTTTGAAGGCCTTCTGACCTTTGTGCATAGAGTTGTATGAATGTGAAATTAGTTGTTTATCAATGCAAAGAATGATTTGATATATTTCGAGTCGACTACTAGGTTGAGTGTATGTCTTTTAAACACACGAGTGTTGTGAGTTTGGGAGGGCATTGTTCATATATAAAGGGGTGGTTGGAGAGGGACCGAATACATATTTTACTCGCCACATAAAAGAGTGAAGAGTGTGTGAGCACTAATCTTGAATTCCATTTACACTTGTGGTTTGCTCTATTTGACAATTGTTAGGGAGGATGAGTAGTTGGATGGATTTGATTGGTTGATTTTGATGCATATTTGTTAGATTTTCCTTGAATTGGTTATGCTTGGTTTTATTTGACTTTTGGGGTGAAGTATGTTTGATTTGTTCATTGATGAGCTCTTTGCTTTGGGACAAGCAAAGGTTTGGCTTGAGGGAGTTTGATATGTTCATTTTATATAGAGATTTACCCCCGTCCCTTGGTCATATTTAGGAGTATTATTGCCTCTTTGGAGCCACTTTTATTACTAATAAGCGTTTTCTAGTGTTTCCATAGTTTTGGTATTGTTTTATAGGAAATTACGGATTTGAAGCATTTTCCCGGACTTATTTGAGCTACTACGAGCATTGGAGTGGGATTGCGTTATTATGACCATATTTCGTAGCCCAAGACCGGTTAAAGTCATCAAACCGGTGATTAAGGGCTCGACAATTAAGAAGAGACCGAGGCAATGGACCAAGTGTTAAGGACCCAAAGAGGAAATCCAGATTGGGCCAAGAATATAGCCCAGTTGAAGAGGTCTAACTTGCCCGGATGCTTGCCTGACCGGGTAAGCCCTCGCCCTGAGGCGCGCCAAGTCGGGCGAGGCACATAGAAGAAAAGCAGCCCTCGCCTTGTCTCGCGCCCGACCGGGCGCGAGTAAAGAAGATACCAGCAAAAGGCGGGCCGATCGGGTGCGTGTTTCTAAGAGGAATTTCGCCAATTTACTTTGCTTTTAATTAGGATTTTTTAAGTTGAAGTATAAACACGTTTTGTTTTAGGAAGTGAGGAAGACGTTTTTCATTAGTAAAATTCTTAGTTTTTAGTTTTATCTTTTAGTGAATACTCTTGTTTTCTCCCTACACTTTTGATTTATACAATTCATCATTTCCGTTTATTTTGGTAACGGTTTCTTTCCCTTTTATTTTCAGTAATTTAATTGCTTTGATCTAATATGCTTTGTTTAATTGCTTGCTTAGTTTGGATTTAATTATGTGTGAGTAGTTTTATACTAGGGTTTGTGGGGATCCATAAATAATATGAAGGGGTAATTTATTATTGTTGATTGTTAATGCTTTGGTTAATTTCTTATTGATTAATTTACTGCTATGCAATTAGATTAGCACTGGTTTAATTGTATGAGTTATGCAATATTAATTCGAGATTCGAGAGATGAGAATTGATGTTTAGGCTTAGTTTCAATAGGCAGGTTAATTTATAAATGGTTAAGTCAAGATTCGAGAGATGCGATTTAACACCGGTAGATTAATTCTGTGATTTTAATACGGAAAGCCCTTTATAATCTGATCAATTGATGCATTGATGATTGATTGTTGTGTTTTACCCTGGAATATTATTTATTGGTGAACCTATACCCTAGGCCTTTTATTATTGTTTTCCTCCCTTAATCAATTTGCTTTAGTTTAATTATTAGTTTAATTCTCATTAAAAACAACTTAGTTACTTGATAGTTTAGACTATTTTAATTGATTAGGAATAGAAAGACTTGTTTCCCTGTGGATTCGACCCTACTTCCCTATCAATTTTAGTTAGTGGATTTAAGAATTACTTTTGATTAGGTGATACGACTTTAGCCTGTCACATGCTTGCTAGGGTGCACACGCACACGACTAGCTAGCAGGCCTAGCCTACGGGCCAAGCCGCCAGCGAGACAACCTTGGCGCCCAAGGTAGGCCACGCCAGCTAGCGTGTTACGAGTGGGTGCGTGTGTGGAATGGTTTTGTGGGTTTGCTAGGGGAGCAATGTGAAGGTGGTCCTACCCTTGGGGAGCAAGGGGAGGGTGGTCCTGCCCTTGTGGTCCTCACCTAACCCCTTGCTCTCCTCATGACACTTGTCGTTTGGTGATTCATTTGGATATTTAATTTAATTTGGAATTAAATTTAATTCTATTTTGCCTTTTTACCAACTATTCCACATTGAAAGATGATGGGATTTCAAGGGGCTTTATTCCCTATAAATACCAATCTTTTGGCATTTGGGAAGACACTTGAGTTGGTGAACTTTAAGGGATCTCCAAGAAGAGAAAATCTTTGTTCTAAAAACTCTAAGTTATTTTTGGTCTAGCCCCGACTAAGCTTTGGGATAGGGACTGGTACGGTTCGGTAGCAAGGGTGTGAGCCGTCGGAGGTTCGCGCACTTGCGGAACTTGAAGCTTTCAAGGCCGAGCTCGAGTTTGAGCGAAGCACGCTACGAGGGTGAGTATTCTCTCTCTTCTCTTATGTTTATTTTTTTTGTATGCCATTGTTTATGTTGTAATTATTATCCATGCGATCCAGTTATCGGGTTTTGTTTCTGCGCGGCGTTGGACACCGCAAAACCCAACAGCGGTATAAGAGCCTTTCGCATTTAATTTTTACAACTAATAATTAATTAAGGTGATTAAATGGATTTAAATTTCAGGTTTTTCTTTCTAATTAGATTAGAAGCTCGATTTTAATTAGTTTAATATCGTACTTATGATAATTTTGGCTAGTTTAATATCGAT